AGCACAGCAGTAATATGATAATTAAAAAAGAAACAAAATTTTAAATAAAAATTCTATAAAAAGGAATTACAGTTTGACTATCAACTAATGTAAAATGGCATTAGGAATGAACTCATTAGACATGACAATTCTATTGTGATTATGTAAGAAGTGCACATGAAGTATTTGGGGATTAATGGTCATGGTGTCTGCAAGTTGTTTTCAAATAGTTTAGGAAAGAAAAGTAAGTAGACAGGACTGGGGATGCAGCTGAGAGTAGAGCACTTACTCTATGATGGGGGGTGGGGATGAGACAGGTAAGTGGACAGATATATAAGATGGGTAGAAATTAGTAAGACAAATATGGGAAAACAGGGTTCATTAAATCTTTGTGTTGAGTATTTGGGTGTGTTATTTTCCTCTGGGTGTTTGAAAATAGAAATAATTTCCATTCTATTCTGATTTTTCACTACAACAGAAGACATTCAAGGCTGCAGCTCAGTAATGTTTTCTTCTTTGTTCTCCTGAGGGATCAAAGTGTTCTCATTTATGATTCTTCAAAAGGCACGTTAAGAAATACATCCAAACTGTTGTCTCTTCATTAAAATTCGGTTTTAATATTTTATTAAAAATTTTTGAATTTGTAAATAGTAAAACACTGAAACTCGCTATTGACACAGAACAACAATGCACTAATAATAAAATCGAGGCAGAAGTTAAACTGTTTAAAAGCAGTAGCAACTCCGGAGTTCAAAGATAATGTTAAGTGTTTCCTGAAGGTGCAAAGCAGCCTCTCAGCCTGCAGTGATGCGGCCAAACCAGCAGGAGGCGCTGCAAAACGTCTCAGATGCAGCGGGAAGCCCATTTACCAATGGCTGTTGTGATCTCTTAATGAGCTTGAACTGATTAGTTCATACTAAAACTTATTTTATTACTTTTACTGCTTATTGCAGTTACTCGTATATACTTGCTAACTGGTACAGAAGTGTTTTTAACACCTGGTTGAGCCACACCAGTGCGAACCCGCTGAATGTCAGCGCTGTTTCCTCTACCAGGGCAGAAGCCACCCCGCTCCTGCCTGAGGGTCCTTCTGCCAGGGACTCTCAGTAATACTGGCCTCTCTCCAAAGCTGTTCCATCACCAATCCTCACCTTCCTAAATATAACAGTTCCCCTTCCACTGAATCCTATCTAACAACTTGTTAAATGCTCCAAACTTCTCAAACTTAAAAAAAGTTCGATTGTCATACGCTCTGCTGCTCCCTTCATTCTTTCACGACAGGCAAACTTACTGAAAACTATGTCCTCACCTCCAAAGCCTCCACTTCCTTCCCCCAAATTACTCCTTAATTCTCCAACATGTGGGGCTTCTGCTCTAAGATGGGCAAAGCCTCCCTGTCATTAGTGAAAACTCATTCTTCACTAACTTCAGTAACACGGCACACACACTGTGCTTGCCCTTCCTTCTTCCCTTGGCTTCACCTCTCTACACTTTACTAGGTTTTTCCCTTGTCTCACTGGTTCCCTTTTCCCCTTTCTCTTTTATATGCTCTCCACTCTCTTCCTCAGCCACATTGTCTGCTCATGCTACACTGAGTCAGTTACTCTTTCCACCTCTAGGTTGATGCCAAATTTGTCTCCAACCACAACCTCTCTTTCCTTAAGCTCCACGTGTACAAACTATCTAAATGTCCCAGAACCCATCCAGTTGCCAAGTCAGAAACATGGTGAGGACTTGTGATTTACCCTTTCCTTCCATACAGCAAAACCCCAAGACCTGTCAATTCCACTTCTGAAAACATCCCATGAATACCTTCTTTCTTCCTGCCACTACCTTGATTCTGATTTGCATTCTCCTCTTGGGTTGGCTGCGGAAGCCTCTGGTCTTCCCCCCTTTCCAAACCAGTGTCCATACTGCAACCATAGTGATCTAAGGCATAATTCTCTTTTAGTCTTTAAAGGTTAAAAGTTTTTGAACAATCCTCTGGATAAAGTCTCCATCTTTAATGTGGTGACAAGGCCCCACAAGAGCTGGATCAAGCTTACCTATCCAGCTTTACCTTTCCCTGCCTCCCTTTCACCCTGTGCCCTAGCCATGCTGCACACGCTAGTCTTCCAAAATTACCATGTTCCTTGGCCTGGAATGCTTTTCCCTTCTCTGCACCTGCCTAGCTCCTACCAGGTCTTCAGGCCTCAGTTAAGACCTCTGCTCCTCTAGGCAGTTTTCTCTGATTCATCTAGACTAGCTTAGCTATCCCATAGGGGTTCCCATAGCAACTTTTTACCATGGATTGCTTTTCTTCTTATGTAACTTTCTGCAAACTCAGCTTCCAGCAGTGACTCCCCACCCCATCTCTTTCTGATCAGCATCCCAAGGCACCTCCCATATGAGCCACCACTATCCCATGGGGTCTCTACCACCCTTCTCACATCACTTATCACACTTTTTAAAAATTGTCTATTTAATTGCTTTCATTTTCCAATAAATTTTGAGCACCACAAAGGACCTTTCTATCCCACTTGCCTTCTGACAGTGATTGGCAGAACAAACGTTCAGTGGGTGAACAAATCTTCGGGGTGACTTAGTACTATTCACCTTAGTTATGACAGTTCAATGGATACATGATGTAATTCTTTCACAGCTTACATAGTGTTATAGAATTCTTTTGCTACTATATTAGTAATATCTGGCTGTTCTACTCCTTTGAGGGTAGGGCCTATGCCTTATTCAATTTTTTTGCCCTAGAACTCAGCATGTCTGGCGCATACTGTTTTCAACCATCTTTTGTTGACTATGTTGATGATTATAAAAAAGAGATCCAGATAATTTGAACTGTCCTGGAACACACAGAGCTTGTTCCAGAACCAAGAATGAAACTCAGTTTGGAGAAAGAGAAACCTAGAAGGAAGCTGATGTCTAAATGAAGTTCTAGAATTGATGAGAGAAGCCTTGGTTTCTCTCCATCCATAAACTGGCCAGCTGTGGGCCACCCAAACTTGCATGAATCTGGCCCAAGAGATAAGGGTATGAAGACAGGGGTCATGGGTATTTCAACATGGAAGGGAGACTGAACCCTGGTTTCCTTTGTCCTTGTAGCCAGTTTCAGTGCTTCAGGCACTGGTGTTGGGGCACTGTATGACCTACTCCTCCCCGTCTCAAACCTTTGTCTTGAACACAGTTCTTTTCCTGGTTTTGCTTTCCTATAAAGTAAGCGAGTCACTGACAGAGGCCTGGGAAGAATCAGCTAGCCCTTGGGGACGAAAAAGTTGCCTCCTGCCAGGTCTTCAGCTCCTCAAAAACATCCAACACCTGGTCTCAACTCCATCCCCAAGCTCAGACTCTCCCAGATGCTGCTGGTGAAACTTGTGAGACAGCAAAAGATAAAGACAAGTAAAGAAAAGCAGCAGAGAAGAGACAGAGGTACAAACAGAATTCTGATCTTTCTCCCTTCTACTTTTAAGAAAATGAATCTAATGTCATCTCCACCCCACACCAGAGAAGTTCCTTGAGCATCTCTGAATATCATGAACTCTCAAGGGAAGCTGAGCTGGAGCCCCCTTTCTCCATCAGGAAACCCATTTGTGAGGTTACAGAGTCTCAGAGGGAAGTCAAGAGGCTTTTTCTGTTTGGACTTTTCCTCCTTTTCTAGCACATTCTGGATAACCTTCAAGCACATTCACATGCCAGTCGTATTTAAACTTTGCACTGGAGTAAAAATTCCAGAACTTATGTCCTCACTGAGACCAGTGACGGGGAATGGGCTTGATGGAATGCGTGTCCCAACACCTCAGCTCCTTCTGAAGGTAGTTTCCTTTGCTCTTTGGTTGACAGGGTCTCTGCTGGCATTAGAGAAACTTCCCAGTGACCCAGACCTGAATGGGATGCCTCTAAATGAAGAGAAATTTAGTCCTCCCTCGTCTCTTTGCCCCTATACTTTAGTCAACCTGTCAAACTATGCCTTTTGCTACCACCCAACCTAGTCAATTCTGTAGCAATCAATAAAACAAGGCCCATTCTCTTCTTCCTCCAAGAATTCAACCTAAGCATTTAACTGCTTGCTTAACAGAGAAGCCCAGCAAGGAGTAAGAAGCCCTGACTCACAGGAAAGCGTATTTCTGCTGAAACGCAGAGATGACTCCAAGATGGATCTGGCCACCCACCAACTTCTGGCTCAGACCCTGTACTAGGCTTACCATTTATTCCCACAGTAAATGTGACTCGGGAGGCTGGTTCTGTGCCCCCCACTACATAGTATACATACATACATAGTGTATGTATGAACTCATACACTTTTAACTCTGAGATTTTTAAATAATGAAACTTAACACTGTACTTAAAAGGGCTGTTCTGCTCAACTCATAAATGTGCACAGGAGTTATATGCTATCAATTAAGTCTCTACTCGTACACATTTAATCATTTTCACAAGCATTCTGCCTTAACTAAAAATTTATATCAACAGAAAATCCTAGAATTATGTTCTATAAGATCCCAGGATTTGGAGAACATTTTACATTCATCCTAATCCAAATCCTTGGGTACCCCATGGGGTCTTGACTGTGACCAGGCTACAAGTTTAGGTCAGGCCCTGCTTATGCATCTTTGTATGTTCAGTGCTTATCATAGGTCCAGGCGCATGACAAACTCAGTAAATATTGTTGAATTTGAAAAATTCCTATAAAAACCTCACTTGGACACATAATTTTGTAATACCTCTTCACAGGGCTCCTTCACCCAGAAGCTCCTGGTATAACCCAGGTCTGACAGCAGGGGGCGCAGAAGACTATTGCTCAACTCAGGGCAGTTGGCACAAACTCCGAAGGAGAGTTGGACTTAGACTTTTTCTCCCATTCAGAATGATGGATTCCTAAGGTGCAGAGTGGGAGAGTGGGCACAGGGCCTAAGAGCCCACTGAATTAATTGCTAAGAGAACACTCCTTCACAAAGAGAATGCACAAAACGAAGAGAAGCCTCCCACAGCTGCCAGCTCGAAACAGCTGCTCTCACCTCAGGTCACCTGGGGAAGGGGCTACAAAGCAGACAATCTTTATTCACAATCAGAGTGGCAGAGGGGAGATGCCTCCAGATCAGTCCAAAAGCAAAGACATTGGGAGGGAAGGTGGCCCTGGGTGAGGACTCAGCACTCACCCTCGCCCAGCAGGGCGTAAGGGTTTCGGGCAGCCAGGCAGGACCCTGGAGCTGAGGTTGGGGTGTCCTCATCCCCTTCTCCCTCCTCATCCGCATCCCGGTCCTCCTCTCCCTCCTCCTCACAGGAGCTGCTCAGCTCTTCCTCTTCCTCCTCCTCCTCGTCACCTGCTGGTCCCACCCTGCCCTGCAAAACCACCAGCTCCGTGGTCTCTGGATGAGACTCCCAGGTGCCTGGGGAACCAAAAGAAGAGAAAGAATGAAGGAGAGTTTTGAGCAAAGGACTAAAGCTAGAGAAAGATGGGGAAGAGACAAAGACTAAAATAATGACTTTTTATAGTTGCTGGTCATTCATCCAACCTCACATGTGCAAAGTACCGAACAGAGGCTGTGCACATGGATTTCAACCTTCATAGCCACCTTACTAGGGACAATTGTTACTTGCATTTGCAGATCAAGAAAACATCTCAAAGATGTTAAGAAATACAGTTGGCCAACAGGTGCAGAACACAAGTTTGACCCTTATCTGACCACAATTCCCACACCCTTTTGCCATCCCATAGTAGGGGGTGAAGACAATGTCTGGGCTCTGACCTTTCTGTTCACTGTAGCCCGGAGGATGGAAACACAGGCTGAGGCGGCCATCCACTGCCAGTCGCAGGAGGCTGTTAGCTGCTCTATACACATCATTCCGAGCCGCCTTGGCTGTCTTGTAACCACGTTTCTCTGCCCAGGCTGGAGGGAGAAAAGAGTAACAGGAAGGGAAGCCTGTGAACCAGGTTCCAGTCACTCCAGTAACATACTCCTTCCAATCTTCCCCAAAACATTTCAGGCAAGAGATCTTGCTGGTCCTGCAGCAGAAATTTTAGGGTGAGTGAACAGCTGCTTCACCAAGAGTAGAATCTGAGGGAAAAGAGGGCGGGGCAAAGAGGAGGGGAAGAAAAGGCAGCAGAGAAGCGAGGGCCTTGCAGATAGACTATGGGACTCACCTTCACAGATATCCCAGGCACACCAGGGGTGTTCAGCAGAGGGATCCTCAGCCTCTGGGTGGCGCAGGTGGAGTAGGGCCTGCACAGGGATCCGAGAGGCCAGGAAACCCACTGCTGTGTAGGGCTCCTGAATCTGGGCAATGGGGTAGATTCCAGCCAGGACCTGTGGGGAAAGCACTCAGTACCTTCTCCAGCATTGCATCTTCTCTGCCTCTCCCACCCCTCCTCTGCCACATACCTGCAACTGCCTGGGCAGCAGGGAGGGGAAGATGAGGCCGGGGCAATCACAGAGTTTCACAGAGGGGGTGAGAAAGTAGGTCTGAAAGTATCGGGTGTGTCCCGGGGTTCTGGAGACACTCACAACCTTCCGTCCCACAAGCCCGTTGATTAACGAGGACTTCCCTACATTGGGGAAACCTGAGGAAGGCAAAGAAAGCAAATGGGACTTGGGCTGTGGGTGTAGATGAAAGAGGAACCAAGGCTCAGAAATTAAGGAAGCGGTATAACATTGCAAATTACAAATCAGGCTCTGGGCTGCTAGCAGTGAATCCTAGCCTTTCCACTTCAGCTCTGTAACCTCAGGCAATTTACTCAACTTTCTGAGCCTGTTTCTTCATTTTACAGACAGAATGGGCAGGATTAAATGAGATAACAGAACAACAGAGTGGGTGGGTGAGATCTGCATCTAGTAGTGACTATCTTGACCCTGTCCAAAGAGAAGCCTGGCAGTTCTGGGCACTCACTGCCCCTCTCTCCACGGCCATCACCACTTTCTTTCTGGCTGAGCCCAGGGCCTACACACATCTTCTGTCCAGCACGCTGGCCCTCAGTGCCTATATCTCACTCTCAAAGATAGCTCCCTTTCCTCTCAGCTACCTACTTCCATGGTCACACTCTGGTCCTGTAACTTCTCCCGTCTCAATTCTAAGCACCCCTTTGTGGTCTAACATTCCATCTTTTAGACTCACTTATTCTGGTTCCTCCATTACAATAACTCTTTGCCTCATACCATCATGATTACACAATGCAACACCAACTTGTGCCCCTCTACCCTCCTTACCCACCTCAGAGTTGTGATCCAGTTCTACAGACACTCCCAGCCATAGATCCTCTCTACATCTTACTCACCTGACAAAACCAAAACCATGAAAGTGCAACTCTCTGCCCATGCTGTACCTGAGAAAAGACGCACTGCCAGGCTGACTGTGCTCCTTCACTACACACTGAGGTACGAGTTATCTCCTTTCCAAAGGGGTGGAGAAGGAGGAACAATTCTAATTTGACAAGCCCACCAGCCTATTTCTCTATCTTCTTTACAGTAAAACTCCTTAAAGACTTGTCTATTTTTTTTATCACTTCTTCATGATCTTCTTTGTGACTATAAACTGTAATATACACAGAAATGGACAGAACATGAGTGTGCAGCCTAAGAAATCCTACAGCATCCAGCCTTGAGCCCAGAGACACACTTCCTGAAAGGCCCCTTTTGCCCCTCTCCATCCTAACTCTGCATAACTCTTGCCTCACCCCACCACACATGGGGGCCTTATCTTGATTTTCAAGGGATACCACTCCTTATGCTTCTTGTTAGTTTATGACCTCATCATCCTTAACAATGCAGCTTAATTCTGCACCCTTTTTTTTGGTGGCACTGGAGTTCAAACTTGGGACCTCTCACTTGCTAGGCAGGTGCTCTACCACTTGAGCCACTCCAACAGCCATGTTTTGTGTGGGGATTTTCGAGATAGGTGGCACTGGTGCCTGGCTTAATTCTGCAGCCTCTAAACTGTACTCGAATAGAACTGTGCAGCACGGAGCTGCTATCTGGCCCCTTTCACACAACACTATGTGAGGTTCCCCATGTTGTTGTACAGTCTCCCAGGCTGTCCCAATCTGGCTTTCTCTCATCTACTCCCCTGAAACACTCACCTTCATATCACCACACCACTGACCGAGTCTCTGTTATCCTTACTCCATCTGTCAGCTGTGTCTGACACAACTAATCCTCTTTTCCTGTTCAAGCACTTTTTTCATTTCCCTTCCAGACACTTCGTTGGTTTTCATTTCTTGCTCCCCTTTGCCGGTTCCTCCTCCTTTGCCAAAACTGCCTCAGTCTTTAGCCTCCTCTTCTCCACCCATCTTCTCCCCTACATCTCGTCCAATCCTATGGCTTTAAATACCATTTAGACACGTCAGTGGCTCCCCAAATTTAAATTCCTCCCAAATTCAAAATTCTCTTTGCTTTTCTAAGCTCCAGATTCCTATACCCACAGAATACTCAACATCTCCACTCGGGATATTAAAAACAATCTCAAATTTAATTTCCCATTCCCCTCTGCTCCCCAGAACTCCAAATCCATTCCTTTCCCAGTATGCCCAGCTATTCAGGACAAAAGCCTGGAAGTCCTTCTTTGTTCCTTGCTTTCTCTTACATGCCAAAAGCAAGCCATCAGCAATCTCATTTTCCCCACTTTCAAAATATATCGTGTTTCTGAGTTGGTCTCACCACCTCCACTTCTACCACTCTACTCTGAGCACTTATTTCTCCCCTAGGCTGATGGGGAAGACTTTGGCTGCTTTCCCTGCTTCCTTTCTTGTTCATCTCCCACCATTCATTCTCAACTCAGTAAGAACAAGCTTCTAAAAAAGGAAATCCAGGGCTGGGTGCTTGGCTTAAGTGATAATGCACCTAGCAAGCATGAGGCCCAGAGTTCAAACCCCAGCACTGCCAAATAAACAAACAAACAAATTAATTAATAAAGGAAATCAGATACTGTCATTCCCTATTGAAAAACCCTCAATTGGCTTCTAATAAGACAGAATAAAGTCCAAAATGCCTATCATAGGAGCTGGGGGGCTCCCAAGACCCTTTCCCTACAGTTCCAAATGACTCACTTTATCTCCTCACCTAGGCCACTCTCCCCTTCCCAGTCACTATCTCCTTTCATAGATTTATTTATTTCCTTCATTGTCCCTAGATAATGATGACAAAAATCTATAATAGATTTTTTTTATTATAATAGATAATAGATGAAAAATCTATAAGCTCCATGAATGTAGGGACCTTTCTGCCATCATCAAAGCAGCATTTTCCATCCCTCGAATAGCACCTGGCACCTGGTAGGTGCTCAGTAAATATTTATTGAATGGATAAGTGAATAAGAGCCGAGGGACATCCAAACTTGGGGTTGCCCATGCCACACAAACCTCTACCACACACCCCAACAACAAATCAGCACAGAGGCCAGTAAGAGAGGCAGCAGAGGCCCATGGGAAGGTCAGAAATCAAGGGAGGGAAAGTCAGGTTGAAATGACTTTAAAGAGGAGCAGTTACTCAGCAGCCAGGCAGCTCTTTCACAAAACACAAGTGACAATGAAAGGTAAGTCAGGGTGCTTCCAAGGAGCCCAAGTATCTACACACCCCTAGATTTCTTCTGGGCTGGGTCTTTTTGGTTCCAGTAGCATCTCAGATATCATAGTTTTGCCAAGGTCTCTTCTCATCTCATACCCACAACGAAAAAGGGGACCTGCAACCTAATCACACATTCTTTTTCCCCCCACTGAAAGCTGAAACAAAGCCTTCAATCAAGGAGAGATACTCCCTGTCCACAGCTTAAGGGTTAAGACCCAGACGGAAGCTAACACTTGCTGTGCCCCAGCTATGACTTAATGATCCCTGCACAGGGGCTAATAACCTCAGCTGGGATGATAGTTATAAATCATTCAGAACAGGGGTTGGCTCATAGTAAGCACCATAAGCATCGTATAAATGCTAAGGTTTAACAACATTGTTCTTACTGTTATCACCATTTGCTAGGCATTTTTAGGCTCTCTCAACACTATGTCTTTCATTCCTTAAAATTATTCTTTGAACTGGGTATCAACATCCTCACTTTTAAAATCAAAGTAACCCTGGGCACTGGTGGCTCACATCTGTAATCCTAGCAGAGATCAGGAGGATTGTGGTTCCAAGCCAGCCTGGGCAAACAGTCCATAAGACCCTATCTCAAAAACACTCAACACAAAAAGGGACTGGCAGAGTGGCTCAAGAGGTAGAGCACCTGCCTAGCAAGCATAAGGCCCTGAGTTCAAGCCCTGCCAAAAAATAAATGAATAAAATAAAACAAAAGTAACTAGCAGGCACTGGTGATTCACACCTGTAATCCTGGCTACTCAGGAGGCAGAGATCAGGAAGATTGAGGTTTGAAGCCAGAAGAGGAGAAGATGGGGAATGAGACCCTATCTCAAATATACCCAACACAAAAAAGGGCTGGCAGAGTGGCTCAAATGGTAGAGCAAGTGCCTAGCAAGTGTGAGCTCCTGAGTTCAAAACTCTAGTTCCACCAAAAAAAAAAAAATCAAAGTAACTAAGATTAAGTAGTTACAGGACTTACTCAAGATCATACAGCTAAGAAGAGATGGAATTTAACTCCACTCCAGCAGATGGCCTCCTCTGCTTGCCCAGGACCATTGGCAGAGACCCACCTTCAGAGATTCTAGGGCCTAAGGAGGTCAGATGGATCTCCTTCCCTCCATTCTAAATACTAAACAGCAGTGCCTCCTGGAGACCATTATGTGCAAGTCACCATGTCCTTACCCACACAGCCGATGGTCACCACACCGTCCTTATAGCGCTCCCGGGTTGGGCCAGTGGGCTCCATTGCTGAGTCAGTCTGCTGCTCCACCAGAACTGCAGGCCCATCCTCCTCTTCCTCCTCCTCTCCGGAACCATTACCCCAGGTGGCCCCAGCCACATCCCGAGCAATCTTCTCCCGCCAGCTGCTCAAGTCCACTGCTCAGAGAAAGAGATGAAAGAGGTCCCCCAAGGGCCTCTGTATATGATGGCACAAACTATGCCATGCAGTTGATGTCACTGGCACCCTCTAGAGACATAAAGTGCCAGCCTGCCTAACTGCAGGCCAGAGAATTTTCCCAGCCTTCACTTGACCCCATTTCTCTGCCTGAATTTCTGAAAAGGACCAGGAAGACTGAAGACAGCAAGGCCACTGAGGCTCCTGCTTACCTCCTGCCTCTCTTATCCCACCAAATCAGTCTGCTCTTATTCTACCCCCATTACACACAACATAATAGAGGAGCCGACTTCCAAAGAGGTCAGCAAAATGACGCCAGGTCTCAGGTCTCCCTCATGGACTCCCCATGGCCCCCTTCAAGAGCAACGTACCTTTCCCCGCAGTGATGGCTTCACAGGCTCTCAGCAACTGCTCTGGTCCCAGGGCCCGAGTCCACCCTCTCCCCCGCCGCCGACTTTTCTTCAAAACTAAGATCAGAGAGTTCAGAAGCGTTAGCACACAGGCTTATGTACCCTAACTCTCCCACAACTCTTTAGGGCCAAGATTAGGTACCCCTGCCAATAAGCCTCTCTTCTTCCCTTTATCCCCTGCCACCCACCTCTCCCACGTTTGCCCAATCATTGCCCACTCACCGCTACTAGGCTCCTGTGAGGTGCGGGGGTCCCGAGGAAAAGAGGTAAAAAGGACAATGTGGAGCTGGGGATAGTGTTGGTGGAAATAATGCTTCCAGGCAACCACAAGAGCAGGAGGAGCCAAATCCACCTTGTTCAAGACCAACACCAAGGCCAATCCAAGTTCTCCAGTTACATACTCATAAAGTGCTGGTGGGAAATTCACAACCTAGGAAAGGGTTGGTAAGAGCATAGAATAAAGAGATATCAACCCACAGTGGTCTGCCTCCAGCTCCCCACTCACCAAGCACAGCTCAGAGATGAGGCTCTGGCAATAGCAGGTTCTGGGGTGAAAATAGTAAACCAGTCAAACTGAACAAGGAAGGCAAAGCAGGGGTTAGTAATACCTGTGCAAGTCTCAGAAGGCTTCCTGTAGGTCATGACTAGAGACAGAAATGAATGGAAAACAGGAGAAGGGAATAGAGATATCTAGCACACCTACATAAAGCCTGGGATCAGGAACAGGAATGGGGGTTGGGGTAGAATGTAATACCTGATTTTGTGTGCACATAACTGTATAAGTGTGTATACATGCAAGAAGCCTGCATGCAAGCAATTGCACACGTGTGCAAGTTTGTGTTAAGCATGTATGACTGTGAACGTAAGTATGTGTGAATGTGCCTGTGTGTACGGATGTACACATGCACGTGTGTATTTGTGACTATATATGTGGGTACATTTGTTAAGGACTCCCAATCTAAATGTCCCCACAGACCTCCCTTTCTCCACTGGAGGACAATGAAGTGGCAGAGTCAGGATTCACAGAGCAGTCCAACAGCACAGTCTATAGCTTTAACCACTACCCTACCATTCCAGGCAGGTTCTGTAGCAACTGATGTGGTCGTGCTAGAGAAACGAAATAAGGAAAAAGGGGCATCTTTGGGTTGGGCAGGAAGAAGCCTCCAGCTGCCTTCACTGAATTTTCTATTGATCTAGCTCTGGTAGGCTGGGAGACAAAACATGCAATTTTTCATCAAAGGAAGTACAGAAAAGAGTCAGCTGGCAAGGGGAGAAGTGACAGGGTATGTCAACATATGAAAAGCTGAAGGTGTGGCTCACATGATTAAAGCACTTGCCTAGCAAGCACCCAAGGCCCCAAATTTAAACCCCAGTACTGCAAAATAAATAAATTAATAAATAAAACAGAAATTTGGACTGTGAGGGTAACAGCTCAGTGGCAAAGCACTTGCCTAGCATGTGGCAAAGTCGATCCCTAGCACCACTAAATAAATAAATAAATAAATAAATGGCAGGGCCATATGAGAAAGCCCATTAAAAAAGGATAGAGAACTGGGGATGTAGCTGGTGCATTGGTAGAGCATTTACTTGTCTTGCTTATGGCAAGGCCTTGGATTGAATCCCCAGCACCACAAACAAACAATAAAAGAAAAAAGGCTGGAGGCATGGCTCAAGTGGCAGAGTGCCTGCCTTGCAAGCAAGAAGCCCTGAATTCAAACTTCAATACTGCCCCCTACCAAAAACAGACAGAGAGAGAGAGAGAGAGAGAGATGAATAAAAAATTGAGTTCCTCGAGCTAGAGATGTACTTAGGTGGTAAAACACTTGCTTAGTAAGTGCAAGGTCCTGCATTCAATTTCTGGCATTATAAAAGGGAAGAAAAGAAAAGCAAAACTAAGTTCCTGTCTGCAGACATTAGCACAGGGTAGATGAGAAAGCTAGAAAGAAGAGGGGGCAGGACATGATAGTGCACGCCTATAATCCCAGCTATGTGAGAGGCAAAGATAGAAAGATCATGGTCTAAGGCCAGCAGATCCTATCTCAAAAAATCCAAGCCAGGTGTGATGGAGTATGCCAGTAATCCCAGTTATGAAGGAGATGAAGGTATGAGGATCTGGTTCCTAGGCCAGCCCCAGGCAAAAAAAAAAAAAAAAAAAAGCAAGACCCTATCTGAAAAATAACTAACGCAAAAATGGCTGAGGGTTATGTTAGAACACCAACCTAGCAAGCAAAAGGCCCTGAGCTCAAACCCCAGTACAAGAACCTTCCTTCCTCTCTGCCTTTGCCCACCCTCATCCCAAGTACTCACTGGATGTCGGATATCAGTGATGAGCAAGACAATGTCGGACATCTCTAATACACGCCACAGCTGCCTCCACGTCTGAAAAGACAGGATTGGTGGAAGAGAATCTAACCTGACCCCAGAGCAATTTGTCCCAGGATCATAATGCCCCCCAAGTCCTGTCCCCACTCCACTGTCACCTCCAGATTGTGCTCAAAGTAGCTGAGTTTCTCCGAAGTGTAAGACCCATGTATCTTCCCAAGATATTCCTGGAAGCTCCGTTCCTCCTGGCTCATTAGTTGTTCCTTAGACATCTCATAGCTCCAAGGAGGACGTCGAGGAAAGTCCAGGACTAGGAAATCAGGAAAAAAATCCAAGCAAGTATGAAGATTTAAGGATTCCAATGTAAACTCCAGACCCTGGAGAGGTCAGCTCTTACCTGTTCAAATCTCTTCCCAAAGTGGACCACTAAGGAGAAATACCCAGCTGTCTTGCTTTCACTCACCTGAGCCAGGCTGATAGACTTCCCGGATGTCCAACTCCAGCACTTCAGCACTGACCGGCTGTAGCACTTGCTCTCTAGCTGCTCTCTTTCTCCTCTCCACCTCTTCGCGACTGTCTCGTTCAAAATGCAGCCGGTATCTAAGGAAACAGGGACCACACATCCAGAGAAGTCCTGTGGCCACACACTCCCGTCTTCTCCCCTCTTGGGCAGATAACTTCATAAATCTTTCAAGTTGTTCAGGTCTCCTCTCTCACTTTGCTTTTCCCCAAGTATCTCTTTCACGAAAGATCGGGTCATCCCCCTTTAAAAGTCAGACTCTCTCCAGCCCCTCTGAAAGAATTGTGGCCCGCTCCGGAGAGAACCCTGTCATCCCAGCCCCACCTTCTCCACTTTCAAGCCTCCATCAGCAGCCACCAGCTTTCCCCCAACGCTCTGATAGCCAGGTCGGCGCTTCACTCCCTCCCTCACCGATTTGGGTCGTAGCCTCTCGGGCCCAGGCCCTGGGAAGGCTGCTGGTTGAGCCTACGGATGTGATGGGTCACAGATTCCCCGTCTGAGGTGTCGGTCTGCTCCTCCCGCCGCTCTCGGCTCCCGCTGCGGCTGTTGGAACTGGAGCGTAGCCCATCTTGAAGCCCTGCGGGGAGGGGCCCGTGACGCCAGTGCTGGTCGACTCTCAGGGGCCAAAAGACCCCCTATCCGCTAGGCCAGGTTTTCCTTCAGCCTACCCAACTTCTTTTGAGGCTCCATCTTCCGTCACCCTTCCCAGGACCCTCCCGGATGTACATGGAGAAGTAGTCACTCCTCCAGGGAGCTACGGGGATGGCGCCCCGTTGGAGCTGAAGGGATTCCCCTCCCCCAACGCCCCATCCCTCCCCACCCCTATTGGGGGGGGGGGGCTGGAGTGGGGGAATCCCCTCCGCGGTCTCCCACACAGATCTGCGCGAGCCCACCACCCCCTCCCACGCCCCCCCAGAGGTGCAGCGGGCACACCCCTCCTTCCAGATGTGCGGGAGCCGAGCCCCGCCCCCTCCTCCTGCTCCCGCACTGACCTCGCTTCCGCTCCCGCTTGTCCTGCAACTGCTTCTTCTTCTGCTTCACGCTGAAGGGCTTCTTCCTCGGCATGGCCCGGACCAGTCACCTGGCCCGCCCTTCGCCGAGCTCCCGCCGCCTCAACTGACTCCCCCCGGACAGCCCCCGCCACAAGGGCCCAGGACCCTTGAGGAGGCGGGGCTAGCAGATGACGTCAGCGGGCGGGCCCGACAGACGCAGCGGCTGCCAGAATGGAAGGCGGACGGAGGAAACGGAGTCACTCCTCTCTAGGAACGAGGCGGGAGGGTGATGCGGGGTGGGCTACCGTCACATGAGAGCCAGTGGTACGGAGAAGCGCGGCGGCTGCGAGGAAGGAGGCGCGCGTGGGAGGATCGGGCTAACTCCGTCACGGGCGCTACCAACTTGCGCGCGGAGACGGGGGGATGCGTGTCATCACTACCTTGCGCTCCTGGAGAAGCTACCACTCACCTGGAGGGGGCGGCGGAGCGGTGGGCGGGCCCTACTACCCTGGGGGGAAAAGAGGGTGTGGACTCGCGGAAGCAATGCTACCAACTCCCAAGCTTGGCCTCAGTGGAAAGCTGAGAATGCGAGTCCAAGGAATGAAGCTAAGTTGCTGGGCTACACTCCGGCACGGTCAGAGGTCTTAACGGGCGGACGGCGGTCTGAAGAGTCCTGGGGGCCGACCTGCTGTGACCCAAATTCTTTGTAGGAACAATGATAAGGATTACAGCCGACCATAAGTGCAAGCGCGAGCAAGAACAGAAACCCAGGTGGGACAAGGACTTTTGGAGAGAGGTCAGAGGGCACAAAGTTGTGCCTCCAGCTGTTACCATAGTAACCAGGGACCGGATGTGGCGATCTTAGGATGCGACAGCCCTTCGGTCTGGGGCCTTCTGGCTCTTTGAAAGCCCGTCGACTCTATGGGCACACTGTAAGGGGCTGGTTGTGCTTTTCAGTGTGGGGGGAAGAGAAAAAAAATTAACCGCTTAAAGAAGCGCGGCAGAGAGAAGGCTTAAGGTTGCCGCCATGCCTTGCACAGACCGAGGGAGGCAGTTTACATGAGAATGCGGCCGCAGTAACGATTCCCCCGCAGCCTTCCGGAAGCGGAACGGCGGGAGCATCAGTCTCACGACCCACAGACCCCCGGAAGCGGAAACAGAGTCCCAGCGTGCCCCTTCCCCACTGCCCTCCAAATCCCACTGCAGCCATTGCCGCAGCCACGATGCCGAAACGAAAGAAGCAGAATCAGCAACAGCAGCCACCACTACAAGAGCCCCCGCTCTTGCCTGAGCGGGAAGAGACTGGAGATGAGGAAGATGAGAGTCCCATCGGTGAGGCGCCGGGAAGGGTGTGCACATGCTTGTCAGCCAGTTGAGGCGAGCATCTAGACTGATGAAGTGCGGGGGAAAAGGCGCTAACGGAAAAGGAGGAAGGGCGCACGCGCTGGGGTGGCGGTGGGGGAGGTCTGTTCGGGGATGGAGCCTTGAGTGAGGAGTTGTCCTACTTCAACGCTAAACCTCAGTCTGGCCCCCAAACCTTTCTAAAGAAGCGGAGGAAGGTGAGGCTAAAGAGCTCATGTGCGCAGCCGCAGAATGGCATGGGAGAGGGACAGTAGAGATATTACAGATTGTGATGCCTGGAATGACAGTTGGTGACCACACTTCCACTGGAAGTAAGGAAAGGAGAAAGAACTGATTGGCCAGCAGTTAAGGTGAGGGATTGGGTTATCTCTGGAAACAGCTGGGTGCTATGGATAGCAACACCTTATAGAAAAGAGAAAGTTGTCAGTATCCTCCATTACCCGCTTTGAGGGAGTCCCAACTTATTGCCAAGCCTGAAATAGCTTTGCAGAGTAAAGGGCAGATAGTGTGTTGAGAACTTGTATCACTGCTGAGAATATACCTGACTTTACTGGTTGAATTAAAAAATGAGTAATAGAACAAAATAACAAGAATGTCAGTCCTTTAGTCCATTCTGATGACCATATTTTCATGTCTGCTGTTAGGACCACCCAGCCTTCTGGGCCCTCCCCCCATGGCCAATGGAAAGCCTGGCGACTCCAAGTCAGGTGAGGAGAAAGGGGTCTGAATTCTTGTTTTAGTTCCTGGAGGAGGGAGTAAAACCTATCAAAGACTTAAAAGACTGGGAATTCTGAACCTTAAGGAATGGAGAGAAGTCGTGAAAATCCAAAGTTGTAAAAATGTCACTTCTTCCCAAGTTGATGTGTAGATTTAGTGCATTCCCAATCAATCCCTATAATGTTTATGTGAAAATAAACATTCTACATCATTATATGGAAATGAAGAGAATGTGGGTGAGAGACTGCCAAGACAATCTTAAAGTGGGAGGATTTATTTTGAACTTCAAGACTTAGTGTAAAGCTACAGTTGCTATGAAAGTGTGGTTTTGATACAGTAATAGACATATAAGTCACTAAAACAGCTTAAACAGCCCAGTGAGAGTCCTGTAGTTGTATAGACATTTCTGTATATAGAAAACTGGAGACGTGGTCCTTTCAGTAAATGATGCTGGATTAATTGGACATTCATGTGAAAAAAATAAAATTTGACCTCTGACTCATACCAGATACAAACATCAATTCCAAGTACACTGTAGACCTAAGTGTAAAAGGTAAGAGTCATTCTTGTAGAAGCAAACATATTTTCATGGTCACACACATGCACGCATACACACACACACACACACACACACACACACTAGCCATAAAGGAAAGAGTGATAAATTGAACTGCATCAGATTAAGATTAACCATTAAGAGATTAACAGGAAACCACACAGTAGACAATATTTGCAACAAATATAACCCAATAAAGATAATACCTAAACTAAAGAATTTTCCCAGATAATACATTAGAAAAATTGGCAAAAGATGATATAACCACTATGTTAAATAGTATTGAGGTTCCTCAAAAAACTAAAACTAGAACTACCATATGATTCAGCAGTCCCATTTTTGGGTATATATTCAAAAGAAAACAGTCTTAAAAGAGACATTTGTACGCTTATTTTCATTGCAGCACCATTCACAATATACAGGAGGTAGAAGGAATCCAAATGTCCATTGACAGAAGAATGGATAAACAAAATGTATATACATTCAGTGGAATATTTCTTTGCCTTGGAAGAAAATGAATCATGTACTACACAACATGGATGAACCTTGAGGACATTATACCAAGTGAAATAAAGTCACAAAAAGATAATTGCTGTATGATTCCACCTACAGGAAGTGTATAAAATTCATAGAAACAACAGAATGATGGCTACTAGGGGCTAAGGAGGAGGTATGGAGGAAAGGGAGTTCAATGGGTACATTGTTTCAGTTTTGCAAGATAGTTTTGGGGATCTGTTTCACAACGTACAAGTATATTTAACACTTCTGAGCTGTAAGCTTGAAGCTAGTTAAGACAGTAAAATTTTTAAGTTGTGTTAAAAAAAAAAACCTACCACTTTCAACAGGTTGTCAAAATGAAAAAGGCTGATAATATCAACCTTGAATATACCTACACTCTTTAACCCAGCAGTTTCTCCACTACATGTGTACTCAACAGAAGTGCGTAACAGGTATAACAAAGACATGTATAAAAATGTTCATAGCAGCATTTTTCGTTATAGCCCCAAACTGGAAACCACCCACATGTCCATCATCAGTAGAATGGATAAATCAGTTGTTGCATATGCGTGCAATGGGATACTACGCTGCAATGAAAATGAACGAGCACTGCTACAGGGAACCCGAATGAATCTTGGCAAACACCATGTTGAGCTGAAAGGAGACAAAGTTCAAAAACAGGCAAAGATTAACGACCTATGGTGTTAGAAGACAAGATAGTGGTTACCTCTGGGGAGGAAGGAGGGGCACAGGGAAGGGTCTTTCGAAGTACTGATAAGTATCTTTTCACATGGGTGGTGGAAACACAGGTGTGTTTTATTTTGTGATAATTAAGCAATGCACTTAAAGTTCATGTGTCGTGTGCTGCACTTCAGTACAAAGTAGAAAGGGGGGAAATCAGGGCTTCTGTGTCAAGATTAAACTGCCATTGGTCACTGTTTCGTGTCTGTTTCTCTCTCCAGCTCTACACAGAGGTCCTCCAGGATCAAGGGGACCAATGATTCCTCCACTGCTGAGTCTCCCACCTCTTCCTCGGGGTAGAGGCCCACTACGGGGAGGCCTTGGCCCTAGGTCTAGCCCATATGGTCGTGGATGGTGGGGGGTCAATGCTGAACCTCCTTTTCCGGGGCCAGGACATGGGGGTCCCTCCAGGGAAGGCTTGCACAAAGAGCAGAGAAACCCTCGAAGGCTCAAAAGTTGGTCTCTTATCAAGAATACCTGCCCACCTAAGGATGGCCCCCAGGTTATGGAAGGTGAGGTCCACTTTGTTACACCTGTACAAATTTCATACCCGTCAGTCCCATAGTGGCCTAATTCCTATGATGCCCATACCCAAGCCTTTTTTTCAGACTTTTTGTTTTTGGGGGGGGGGCAGGGGAGGGAACGACAGTGCTAGGAGTTGAACCAGGGGTTCACATATGCCAGGCAAGCCTCTACCAGTGTGCTAAACTCCCAACCTCTGAACTGTTTTGTAAAGCAGGAGTGACCCTGAATGTCCTGCCCCGCCCCTTCCCTCCCCCCCAGGAAAAATGCTACCATTCCAAAATACCTGGAGGTCTAGGAGTGAAGCTTAGTGACAGAGCACTCTTTTTACTATGCCCAGGGCCCTGGGCTCTGTTCTGTACTTGGCCCCAAAGGAAAAAAATCCAAGGAGGTAGGAGGTGGGAAATCTGACTTTATCTCTGCTTTCCATTACTTTTTTTTTTTCTTACTCAGATTTTAAACCATCCGATTTTTACTTGTTCACAGACAAATCCAGCCGCCCTGTTTGCCGACACTTTTCCAAAAAGGGTCACTGTCGATATGAAGACCTCTGTGCCTTCTACCACCCAGGCGTCAATGGACCTCCTCTGTGAGACTGTGCCTTCCCTTCCAGGCTGGAAGGAGCCCTCTGTGACCTAGTGGCCATGTATTTCCCTTTGGCCCTGTGACGGCTACTGTGAGGCTCTTCCACCTATCACCCTCAGTCAGTGACATATCCGTCCCCATCTACCACCTCCACCATTTGGGGTCCAGAGTTGTGTTTCATCACTGGTGCACAGTGCGTACCATCTTCTGATCCAGGTTCCAGAGACTCACCTTCGGGATCCCATCTTAATCCCTTCAGCTGCCTCCTGGATCTTCTTCCCCTTCACAAATGACTGCTAAACAGGAAACCTTTGGTGCTGTTTCTTGTGCATCTGTCCACTTGTCACCCAGTATTGCCCTCGATTCCCGAGAGCCCTGGAGTGGTTTCCTACCCTCTAGCTGCTTGTTTTAAGTCCTTTTTTAATGTGGCACCCTAGTGTTTTCAGCTGCTCGGGAAACTCACCAGGTTATCTGGCCTGGGGTTGAGTTTGGGTATCTGATACAGTTACTCCCTGACAGCTACTTCCCTGCTTTTGGATTTCGTAGTTTCTCTGTCAGCATGATCCCCACCACTATGGTCTGTGATCACTGTGCGTTGTGAAACTGTGCATCTCCTTGTATACTTTCTTAGTGTCCGTGGCATTTTTGTGACTTCCCAACACTAGAGTAAGTTTTCCTGCCAAAATGAATGAGGCTCTTGGTGCCCTATAGACTTTCCATACCTTCCAACATGGGAGAATTGTGAAACTTCCCATAGACTCCCTCCCTGGTCCTCCCCATTCTCCCACTGTTGGTTATTCTGGGTCTGACATAGGCCAGTGATATCTTGTAAAGCCTCAGACGATGATCCTCCCTACCCAGCTCTTCCCTGGCCTATTTTAGGTAGGCTTTGTCATTGTGAGGCCACCAGCCCTTTCATTTGAATTCTGTGAATCTCCACCTGGCCTGACTTTGGGTGGAACCTGGACAGTACTGTCGCCCTCTTCCAACCCTCTTCCCTCACATCTCCTGGCACTGGTTGTTTTCTGTGAAAACGGCAGTGAACAGCTTCTGTTCTGAGCTAGCCCTGAGGAAATGGATCAGGAGGTGTGTAGGCAAGAGGGAGGAATTGAAAGCTGTCGGAGAACTGAGAATGATTTTTTTTTTCTTTTTAACTTTTTTTATATTAGTAATAAATGCAGTGGAAACCAGCATTTTCTTCAATCCCTGTGTCCCAATCATCTCTGAAGTCGCAGATGAGGCTATTCTTGGTGGAGTCAGCTCATTCTTCATTTATTCATACACAGTGGTGAGAATGGGTCCATTAGCCAATCAGTATCAATCAAACCAAGCAATGTGATCAAGTGCAAACTTGTACAGAAAAAAGGAAAGAAAGCCCAAGTGCCTGTGGACTCATTTTCAAACATTTTACCTGTGTCAGTTTGGTATTTATGGAGTAGTAATGATGAAGCAGTCTTTCAACAGAAATTTGTAAAGAGTTCCTGTGACCAGACAGTATACAAGACACTAAAATAACTGACCTAAAACTAGTGTATTCTAAATCTACAGGGGAAGACACATCAAGTAATCACAAATACCTGTAAAGTTAACACTTGGCATGGTTACTGCCTAGCAAGCATGTAAACCCTGAGCTCAAACCCCAGTGCTGCCAAAAAAAAAGTTACACTTGTCAAAATGCTATGAAAAAGAGACAACAGAATTAGAGTTGGAGAAAATGGACATTTAGAAATGACAGGTCAAAATGAAAGTATTTTAGTCTTCTCCAGGTAGTTCTGCCTTACATTTCTATGTACAGTACTGGGGTTTGAACTCCAGGCCTCGCACTTGCTAGGCGGGTGCTCTACCACTTGAGCCACTCTGCCAGCCCACTATGTGTATTTATAAACCAAATTAGTGCTTTGGGGAAGATTGAATCTGAGCTACCTTTATTTTTTTTCTTTTTTTGGTAGGTAAAGGTAAAGAATACACTTTTAATAGACTGGAAGCATGTTATCTCAGAAAGGGAGATTGAAAATAAGGACTCCTGAGCTGCCTTTTTGAGGCATGTGACCAGAGCAATAAGTAGTTAGTTGAATATGTAAATTTGGGCATTCAAATTAAAATTAGGGACTTAAATCAGTTACCTGTATGTAGGTGGTAGTTGAAACCATGAACGTGGACACAGTCCTTCATAAGTATTAAGCACCCAGCCTGTCCTAGTTTATCAAGTTTAAGTACAATCAGAACAAACCTAAAGTTAGTCTTAAATAGAAGTTTTAGTTCTCTCACAAGACCAAGCCGTGTATGCCAATGCTGCTACAAGGTCCTGTTATTCTGAACCCCAATCTTAGCTTTTAGCTCTTCAAGACTACAAACACAAACTCCTATTCATAGTCCAAAGTCACTCTAACTTCATCCATGTTCAAAGACTCAGGACAAAGGACAGAAGACTAGTTGTCTTCAAGAAAATTTCTTCCCAGTTAGCATTTTCTCATTCTTGTGGCCAATACCTAGTTCTTTGGGGATGTATTTCTTGTCCATGTGCTAAGCAAAATATCAGGGTCTTTGAGCTCATAAAAATGTTAGGACACCATGAACAGCCTCTACCTGCCACTCACTCGGTGCTAAAATTTGAGGATGTAATAATATGATAAAAGCATCAATGCCTTCCAGCCAGACCACCAGGCATATACCTACAGTCAAGGTTGGGTTTATTAACTCCACAGGGATGTCTCATTGCAGAGTTAGGAATTATAAGAGTAGGGTTTATGTAAAGTGATTTCAAAGAGTAGGAAATTATTCTGTCTTAGATGCCCTTAAGCAGGAGCAACCAACCATGGATGGTGGTGCACACCTGTAATCCCAGTATTCAGGAGACTAAGAAGGATTGCAAGTTTGAGGCCAGCACAGGCTACATAGCAAGACCCTGTCTCAAAAGTAAAAAGTTTTGAAAGTAATTCTATAATTGCATATCTTAACAAATCTTATAGGAGGGAAGAATGAAAGAAGGCAAAAGCTGTCACATGAAAAAGGAGCCATCTTTCATTCTTGCCAAGAGAACTCATTTGGTATTTTTTGTGGATTGCACAATGACCCTATTTTTGTGTGTGTGTAGATAAGATTATGAAATTTGTCTAACTTCACCGTCACGAAATTACCTAATCTGATACTTTTAGTGTTCTATGAGAGTGTTTATGCTCAACAAGAGAGTACCATGGTCTAGCTGTGTCAGACCAGCTCCTAGCAACATCAAGGCCTAGCTAGCTATTAGTGTAGTTCCCAATTGTCAGGAGCTGTTTTCCTCAAAAGTAAGTAAATGGACAATTCCAGGTTGTGATGATTGATATGAAGGAAATAAATGGGGGTACTGAATAGAGAACAGTGACTGAAGGACTACTCAAAACATGCTGATTGGAATAGACCTCTCTGAAGAATCTAGCCAAAAACACCTAGGAGAGGGGAGGGGGTATAAAAGAGAATGGTGGAGGGGGTGAATTTAAATAGGAGATTTTTGATACATTGTAAGAAACTTTGTAAATGCCACAAGGTACATTTACAACCTAGCTCAACAATAACACAAAACAAAACAATTCCTAGAAGGAAGATTGAAAGATTCAAGTGGGAGAAAGAGGCCAGGAATTAACCTTGAGGAACTCTGACATTTAATGGCTGAGTGAAGGACACAGGGAACTGGGGCATAGCTCAAGTGGTAGAGTACTTGCCTAGCAAGCACAGGGTTTGTGAGTTAAAACCCCAGTGCCACTAAAACCAAGAAGGATAAGGCTGAGTTGACAAGGACACTTAGGAGGGTTACCAGAGTCAGGGAGAGATCTCAGAATGTGGCTGGCTGCTGCTGTGTCTGGTTCCCTGCCAACTCTTTATGTACATTGTTTTTATTTAAGCACCACATTCATTCACTGCATGGTTTAGTTTCTGCTCAAGGACAGGCACTGTTTTAGGGACTGGAGATCTATCAATGAAAAGAACAAAACCCTTGCCCCTAGGGAGCTTGCATTGCCTTTGGGATGACATAATAAAAGCATGTCATAACATTTTAAATAATAAGTACTTGGAGGCAACGTTGATTGAAGAGGCTAGAGAGTGACAGGTGGAAGACAACAGGTTGATACTAAGGGCTACTTTGAAGAGGTAACATAGGCACATAAATTAAATGAGGGAAGTGCATGTGAGGCAGAGGGAACAGCAAGTGCAGGAATGAAGGGTATTTGAAGTGAAAATAGAGGTCAGTCTGGGTGCTGGTGGCTCAGGTCTGTAATCCTAAACTACTTTGGAGGCTGAGATTAGAAGGATCATGGTTTGGAGGCCAGGCCAGGCAAATAGTTCATGAGACCCCATCTCCAAAATAACCAGAGCAAAGTGGACTGGCTCAAACTGTACAGCACCTACTTTGTAAGTGCCTACTTTGCAAGCATGAAGCCCTGAGTTCAAACCCAGTCCTACCAAAAGTTAATTGATAATTAAAATAAAATATAGTCTGGGGGTTGGGAACATGGCTCAAGTGGAAGAATAACTGCCTAGCAAGTACGAGGGTCTAAGATCAAACTGCAGTTATCATAAAAATAAAATAAAATAATGACATAGGTTGGGTCATGTCACTGCTCAGAAACTCTGTAAAGATTTGCATTTTAATTGAGAAGCCAAGATACTTTATATGACTTAAAAGACCCTCAGTACAGGTCCTGCTCTACTTCTCTGTTAACTTTTTCAACAATTTGCTTACTCTTGCCACCTGAGCACACTGGTCTCCTGGCTGTTTGTTCCTCACAATATGCCAAGTACACCCTGCTTTCTCCTAGAAAGGCTGTTCTCTCAGAAATTCATTTGGCAAAAATGCTCCACATCTTCAAGGGTTTACTTGGATTTCACCTCACTAAGGCCTCATGAGTAGTCTAATTTAGTACTACAACATATCTTCCTGATACTTTTTACCTTGGTCTGTATTTCCTTTGTTTTTTAGACAAGGTCCACTATGTAGCACAGGCTGGTCTTGAACTCAGGATCCTCCTGCCTCTGCCTCCAGGTCCCACCACAACCAGCTCAATCTATATTCTCTTTTACCCATAGCATTAAGCAGAAATGTTAGCAGAGGCCCGGTGCTGGTGGCTCACACTTGTAATCCTAGCTACTCAGAAGGTAGAGATCAGGAGGATTGCAGTTCAAAGCCAGTCCGGGCAAGTATATGAACCCCTATCCTGAAAAAACCCTTCACAAAAAAGGGCTGGTAGAGTGGCTCAAGGTGTAGGCCCTGAGTTCAAGCCCCAGAATTGCCCCCCCAAAAAAAGAAATATAAATAGAGATCTTTATTTTATTCAGTGGTATCTCAGGAACCTAGAACAGTGCCCAACA